TCAATGGGAGGCCCTTAGTTGGCAATGGGAGAGCAGAAGGAGAGCAAGATAGGGATACGTATCCCTCCTGGCTCCCTCCCTGCTGAGTGGGCATGGGTTGGCTGCGTCCCGTTAATGAAGCTCTTGCCAAGTGGTGCTCTCCTCACAGCCAGTCCAAATAATGGATCCCTTCCCTGACCATGACGAGCCTAGAGGTGAACGACTTCCCTGAAGGGTTGCCCATCCTTGTTGATTACTCTCAATCCTACCCAAGTTGTTATCATCACTTTGTAAACTCATCAGACGTGCCACCTAGTTCCGGCTAGGCCCCTAGAAAATGAAAAGAAGACATGAATAAATGAAAAGTGACATATGGTTATTTGAGCTTAAGGCTACACTGCTGTAAAAAATATGGACATGTGTAAATTGATTTGTAAATGCCATACAATCCCAATCAAATACCAGTAGGATTTCATGTAAAACTTCCTAGGTTGACACTAACCCAGGGTTCTTTTTGAAAATCTGTTGGGCATTTCTGTTTATCATGAAGATTGAAGCTACATGATTTATGAGTTTTATGCCCTTTCATATAGTAAAGTGTACATTACCAAGTATTTGTTAGACAATGGTGGCATTGATTTTACTAGGTTAAAATTATATGTGAGAATAGCCAGGTAATTTCTGAATGAAGAAGTAACAAAGGTAGGTTTTTCTTTCAGGTATATATATGTACATTATAATGCTGCATTGCCTAAAATGGGATGATAACTGCACATCTATAAAAGAAAGGAGATCTGAATAACATAATAGCATATATAAGACATCAATGTAAAGCCAAATCAATGGGAAAATAACAACAACAACAACAACAACAACACAGCAACAAAAACCCCAGTTCCAACACGTTCCTCAATTCCAACTCATGGTGACCTCATGGGTTTCAGAATAGAACTGCACTCCATAGGGTTTTCAACGGCTAAGCTCTTTCAGGATCCCATATCTCCAGGTCTTTTTGTTGGGGTGCCCCCAAGTGAAAAGCCAAACGCATTAACTTAATATTTGTATCTCTATGAAGTCCTAGTGGTGTAGTGGTTAAGCACTAGGTTGCAATCCGAAGAAACCACCAGCTGCTCTAATGGAGAAAGATGGGCCTTTCTGGTCCTGTAGATAGTTATAGTCTTGGAAAGCCACAGAGAGGTCACTATGAGTTGGCATCCACTCGACGGCAGTGAGTTTTGTATTTCTATACAGGAGGAAAATGCACAAAGAATAAGAGTAAGAGACAGAGATATCCAAAAATGCGTAATAATATATACAATTGTAAGGGCAATAAAGAAAAAAACAATGGCACTGAAATACACATGTAGAAGTTGTTGAATTGGAGAATGTTTTATTGTGTATATATTTCCCACACAATTAGAAAAAATATAATTGCTTGAATAACAATGAGTACCAGGGGAAAGAAAATGTTCTAAAATTGATTGTGGTAGAGATGGTGCACTTCTTCTTGATATAGTTGAACTACTGAATTGTATGATATGTGGATGAAGTGCCAATAAACTGTTGAAAAAGAAAAAAAACCCAAAACATTCACTGCCATCAAGTTGATTCCAACTTATAGCGACTAAGTATTTGACATTTTCAGGAAATAAATTCAATAACTATATCTTGCCAACAACACATCAAGTTTGTAAGAAATACATACAAAGTCAACTTATCAAACATAGGTTGCATGTTGATGTTAGTGGAAATGCACCAAGAGAAATGGGGAGGAGGAGCATACAGGAGTAGATTTCGTATGCTCATGTTGTATGTTAACTATTGTTTATATGCTAAACGTTGTTGCCATGGTAAGTTGTACAATGTAATGTGTTAACCACTATGAAATTAAAAAAAAAAAACATTCAGGGAAAAAGGAAAGAGAGCAACAAGGCACATCACCAGAAAGCAGTCAAATGCAAACAAAATCAGAAAAGTCAGAATTGTTAAAGTGAACATTTAAAAAAACAAACAGCAAAAGGAGTAATGTAGGTACTTCGTGTTCAGTAATAACCTAAGTGAAAATGGCCCATGCAAAAACTAGAGAGTGACAAAATGGATAAGAACAAAATCCAAACCAAAGTATAACAACAAAAAGAACAAAACCCCCAAACAAAATAGGCTCCACTCTTTTGCTATCTATGGGAAACACATTTTAGACAAAAATGGCAGAGTGCAAGTTAAAAAATGACGGTGAAAAATACTCCATGTAGCCAGTACATAAAAAGAGTCATACTGCTATCAGATGAAACAGGTTTTTAAAAATGGTATTGTGGTTTGTGTGAAAGTTTACACGGTCAATTCATTTTCCACCTAGCAATTTATACACATTTTGTTCCATGACATTGGTTGCAATCCTCTCAACATACTAGCACTCTTGCACTTCCTTTTTGGGCTCCTTGTTTCCATTCGCCCTTCTTTCCTGCCCTTTCCTACTGTTTGAGTTTTGTTTTTGAACAAATGTCCTTTGGGTCACTTGGAGGTCAATTTTATCTGAGATTAGGATTTCAACACCTTTTTAAAAAAAATTAGAGTTTGACTGATAATGTCTCCATCCTTTGATTCGCAGCCTGGTTTTATCTGTGACATTGAGATGTGTTTCCTGTAGGCAGCAGATCGAGGGTTTGTGATTTTCACGTCAGTCTATTAGGTTCTGTTTCTTAAGGTCTGAGTTCACCCCATTTATATTCAGGGTTATTACATCTATCTGTGGACCCTGTGATGTCAATTTATCTCTCTTGTATTGGGTGGTTTCCTACCTCCGTTTCTTTTCCGTGAATTGTGCATATGTGTGTTTGCGGTTCATTCTTGCCTTCTTTCCATCGTGCCAGTTTTATCTTGGGGGCTGTTTTCCCTTTGATGGTCTCTGGGTGGAGTTGTTCTGTGTGGTGTTCTCTTGTATGTGCTTGGTGAGTGTTGTTCTTCTGCCCATACTGGGTCAGCGAGGATCTTTTGTAGTGCTGGGTTCCTTTTAGCATATTATTTGAGGCTTTCCTTGCCCGGGAAGACTCTCACTTCTCCACCTATGTTGATAGATATTTTGGCGGGATAGAGGATTCTTGGGTTGTTTTAATTTCCTGCAATTTTTGGAATATGCTGCTCCACTGTCTCCTCTTCTTCATAGTGTCTGCTGACAGGTCTGAGCATATGCTTATCTGCTTGCCTTTATAAGTGGTTGCCTGTTTTTCTCTAACTGCTCTCATAATCCTCTCCTTTTCCTCATAGCTGGATAGTTTAACAACTATATGTCTTGGTGACTTCTGGGGATTCAGTCTAGCTAGCATTCTTTCAGCCTCCTGGATAGTTGGCTGGTTTTCGTTTATTAAGTTAGGAAAATTTTCCCCCAAGCATTCCATCCCTATTTTGGATGTTGGTTTCCTTGATGTGGATTCTTCCTCCATGCCAATAATTCTGAGGTTGTTCCTTCTCATAGTGTCAGACATAGCTCTGAGGTTTTCTTCAGCTTCTCTGATTGACTTGTTAGACATTTTCTCACGTTTATTAATTTCTGATTGTGAATCCTCTAGGTCACTGGTGCGGTTCTCAGCCTCCTCCATTCTCTGGGCAAAGTCTGTGAGTTTGCTGTTAGTTTTTGTTATCTCGCCCTTTAACTCCTGTATTTCCTTTTGGTGCATAGCCTTTAATTCCTCTATCATTTCATCCTTTTTCTGTAATGCTTCCCTCATGTCCTGTATGGCTCCCAGCAGCATTCTGAAGGTTTCTTTCTGTGGAGGTCAACCTCTGCCCTTTCTAAGACTGCTGTTAGGTCCAGGTGGTCCTCTGGCATTGGATTTTGTTGCTCTTTTCTTGTTGAAGCTGTGGAAGCAGCTTTCTGGTTTTTGTTCGATTTGTGGGCACTTGGTGCCTTTTTGCCAGGCGTCTCAGAGCCCTGAGCTCTCTTTGGGAGGTTGGTGCTTTAGCTGGCTACCTTTAGCCAACTGCCTTGAGGGGTTGTGCATCATCTTTGTCCTGCTGGGGATTCCCTCTCGCCTTCTCCTCTGGTTTGTTCCAGCACCCTTCATGTCTCCTTAGGGGCTGTTTGCTACTGTGCAAACTGCAGTCTAATAGAAAGTATTGGCCCCAGTGCAGGGGAGCGTATTCAGGGGATGGGTTGGGGATTGGGTGATCTGTTTCTGGCTAGGGGAACTTCCCTCAGGTAGGCAGGTGGGAGGGGGGCCGCGACTGGTGTGCAAATGCACCACTTAGAGTCCAAAGGGTGGGATAGAGTGAGCAGCAAGAAGGGAGAATGCAGTGATAAAGCCCCCATAACTTGGGTTCCTATGCCGCAGCTGCAGAAATTTGTACCAGCCTTGGATCCTCTGCCGGCCCGCAGTGGTGTGGCAGGATGTGGATCACTGAGTGTGTGTGTGTGTGTGTGTGTGTGTGTGTGTGTGTGTCCCCGCAAGCGCATGCGTATAGGGGAGCGGGTGGGCGGGAGGCCCAGGGAGGGAGCTGGCTGGTGGATTTTCCAGGAGCGCAGTGATGGGGCAGGCTCCTCTGGGCTGCGACCTCTGAGTGTGCTGGCAGGTCTGATTGGCAGTTTGCGCAGATCCCAGAGGTAGGTCCTCAGACTCTGCTTTCTGCCTCGCTGTGGCGCCGGGCACGTTGCTCTGGGGAGAAGGGGGGAGGGTCTGGCCTGCTGGACCGCGAGGGGTACCTGGGTGGAGCCCAAATCTGCAGGAGGTGGGCAGGGGGGTTGCTGGTTGGAGCACACACACGGGCCCCGGGCTCCATGACTGGCAATTTTGTGCGGAGCACCCAGGCGGGTGGACTCAGCCTCAATCGTGCACCTAGCTGCCTTGTGGCGCAGGTCCCGGCAGAGCGGGTGCGCGGAGCACCACACCTGAGACCACTGGTATTCGCATGGAGCCCTGGCTATGGGTGGGAGTCCACCTCTGGGTCCGAGAGATGCTCTGAGTGGTCTTGGGAATTGAACAGACAAATTTGGTACCCCTACTTCACCCCCAACTCTCCCCACTCACTGATCTCGTCGGAGCTCCGGGAGTGAGCTACTTTTTTGGCGGCCATCTTCCCTGTCTCCTTCTCTCAAAAAAATTTTAAAGATTGAAATCATACAAAGCATTTTCTCTGACCATAATGTTATGAAGTTAAAAATCAACAAGGGAAAAAAATAAAGACATGGAAACTAAATAATAAATCCAAGTCCAAGCCTATTGCTGTCCAGTTGATTCCAATGCATGGTGACCTGATAGGATGTAGGGGGTGCAAGGTTCTAATCATTACAGAAGCAGACGGGCAAAGCTTTCTCCTGTGGAACTGTTTTGGGGTTTGAACCACAGACCTTTCGACTAGCCAGCCAATGCTTAACCACTATGCCAAGCAGGGCTCAAAATGAAATCAGACACTCCTAAAAACCTATTGGATCACAGAAGCAATGAAATATGAAATTTGAAAATTTTTAGACCCAAACAAAAATAAAATGACAAATCAAAAGCTCGGGGATACGGCAAAAGCAATACTCAAAGAGAAATTTATAGCAATAAATGTCTTAAGGAAGAAGAGAGTCGTTTGGGGGTTGGCGGTGAGGGTCCGAAATCCCTCAGAACGAGCATGTCACACAAACAAATTTACTATTCAGACAAATACAACAACAAGGAATTCGAATACAGGCAGGTCATGTTGCCAAGGAAATAGCCAAGCTGGTCCCCAAAACCCATTTGATGTCTGAATTGGAATGGAGGAACTTGGCGTTCAGCAGTCAGGGATGATTCCGTTAGATGATCCATGAACCTGACCCTCACATCTTGCTGTTCAGGTGGCTGCTGCCCAAGAAGCCAAAGAAATGAAGGTAGCAAGCCCCTTTTCAGCCTAAAGCTATTCCAGATGACCTCTTTTGCTAACATCTGACTTATCTCACTCTTATTGAAAGGATGTTCCCTACACTGAATGTGCCGGTGTCTGCTTTGCCGCATGCGCAGAACCACATCTGTGAGCGGTGCTCTGTGGGCCCTTGTCTCAGCTGCCCATGTCCCCAGCAGCCTTAGAGGGCAGTACCCAGCAGAGCACCCCTGGCAGGCAGAGAAACACCCGAGAAGATAAGATCACGGGACTCAGTTTACGGGAATTGTGTAAACTTGCCATCGTTGGTGTTTTGTTTTTCTGTTTTTGTTTTCCCTGTGTGTGTGGTGACTGCGGATTTGTGTTTTGATGTATTGGAAACTTTCCATTTTAGTCAAGAAATCTGTTCCATGTTTTAAAAGCCCTGATTAAAGAAGACATTTTTTTCCTGTTTTTATTTTTTTTTAATCGTTTTATTAGGGGCTCATACAACTCTTATCCCAATCCATACATACATCAATTGTGTAAAGCACATTTGTACATTCATTGCCCTCATCATTCTCAAAACATTTCCTCTCCACTTAA